TTTGTGTGAAATAAACGTATCGTCTGTAAAATATGGAGTAAAAAACAACGTTAGTTCTAGTTCTGAACAAAGTCAACACAGTCCCGTCCCACGACGTCGACGTATCCATACTTATACTGATACTCATTACTCAAGTATTTATTTCACCAATGAAAATACTCTCAGTTCTACCAGTACTTAATTAAAAAAGGTTTTAGTTCATGAAATGAAACAGCGTCACTGGTCGTTGTTGTTGTCGTTGTTGTTGTTCCTGGTGTGTTCTGTACGACTGTCACTCTGAACCACTGTTTCCTCTGCGCTTCATAAATAAATGTGTAATTCCTGCCCTTTGAAACCTGGAACCTAAAGGAAATGAAACGATGTTTGTTCTCAGTGAAACAGTGACATTTCCGTGGCGGCGGCGGCGGCGGCGGCGGCGGTGGCGGTGGTGAGCTGTTCAATCTTTCATGAAAACTCAACACTGACTCCTGCAGTTTGTGATTCACTCATTGGTGTCTGTGGCTCAGAGCGTTTGTTTTTTAAATCCTGCTGCATTATCTCAGGCCGCGCTTCATTGGTTGGCAACTTATTTTCCAGCTCAGTGGAAATAATAAGGGACATGTTGACAAACACTTCTTCTTTAACTTTACCTCCCTGCCTCTCTCCCTCCCTTCTCCCTCTCCCCCTCCCTCTCTCCCTCCCTGCCTCCCTCTCTCCCTCTCTCTCTCCCTCCCTCTCTCCCTCCCTGCCTCCCTCTCTCCCTCTCTCTCTCCCTCCCTCTCTCCCTCCCTGCCTCCCTCTCTCCCTCTCTCTCTCCCTCCCTCTCTCCCTCCCTGCCTCCCTCTCTCCCTCTCTCTCTCCCTCCCTCTCTCCCTCCCTGCCTCCCTCTCTCCCTCTCTCTCTCCCTCCCTCTCTCCCTCCCTGCCTCCCTCTCTCCCTCTCTCTCTCCCTCCCTCTCTCCCTCCCTCCCTCCCTCCCTCTCTCTCCCATCACATTTGTTTAGAGGTGAATCAACCTCCCCCAGAGTCTCCTGGTCCAGGTTTTAGGGATTGTTTTGTCCTAATGTTTCATGAGCTAAAGGACAGAAACCATGAGAAAATAAAATGTTTGTTTTTTACTGAGTGAGAATTTTGCTGAGGAGGAAAGAATGGTGAGACAGGAAGAAGACAACGACACAACGTGGAGGAGGTTTTCACTAAGACCAGGGTGAGGAGATCTGTCTCCCTCTCTGGTCTGTTACGATGATAACAGTTTGACCAATCACGTGACCCCGCTCCATTACACTGTACCACCCAGTGGACAGAAGAGGTATTTATTTAAGGATGGAGTGACACCATGTCAAAGACGGTCGTTAGATATTTGTGTTCAAGCTCTGCTCACTTTCTGTTCAGTGACTCTGTCACATTAAATTACTGTTATCTATCTTTATTTTTCACTGGTATTTCTGATCTTTTTTATCCTTTTTTCGATCTGTATTTTATTCCTTATTTTAAAACTATGCATTTTAAATATATCTATTTTTTATTTTATTTTTTTTCATTTCTTCTTTCTGTCTTTGTAACAGAAATGACCAACGTCTTGACTGGGATTGAATTCACGTGAACCGTCCCTCACTCCCTCAGTGTTATTCTTATATAGAATTAGATTTTCTGTATTGTTTAATGTCACTGTATGACCTCACCTCCCTACGTGAGCTCCTATTGGCTGCACAGCGGGCGCTCAGGAATAACACACTGTCACCGCCGTCTCAGAGTTTCTACATTTTCTGCACTGACATCCACAGTCTCACATCATCTGCAAAAATATTGCTTGTTATTTTTTTCATTTTTATATTTTGTTTGTGTGAATATTTCTGTCGTACGATGGAGGATGTGGTTTCAGGCACAGACTAAATAAATCATTAAAAAAAGCCTGGCCTTGTGTTGAAGTGGAACAGTTCAAAGTTCATCTACGTCAGACCCCGGCTGCTGCCGTCGTTGGTGAAGGTTCATCGATGATGAAACAAAGGCTGCAGGAAAATCCAACCTTCTTCATTTTAATGTGAGTCGTTTTTATTTATTTATTTATTTATTCTTCACTTCCTGTGTCAGGTGGATGTTTGACATGAGGACGGCGTCTCTGAGGGCGTGTGGTTTGACCTTTCCTCTTCAGTTCCTACATGAACATGAACCTTCAGTAGGAAGGTCACACACACACACACACACACACACAGATGTTGTGGTCAGGAGTGTATTCAGGTGAAAGGTCACTGGAAAGCCTGTTGTTGCTGAGGAGAATCCATAATCTACGACAGCTGCGTTGTGGGATTGGACGAGATGACGGCGGTGAACACGGCGAGCTCTGGTGTGCGGCGCGGCCCACGGCGACCGGGCAGAGTAAAGTGGGTTTAATCCCACAGTATACAGCGGCCATCTGGGCTGGGCTGAGTGTGGAGCTGGACTGATTCAACACTGACACGTGTCTGTCGCTCTCCTCGTCCTCCGACCTGAGCCCAGGTCAGTGTGTTCTCCTGTGAACCTGGTGGCTGTTCAGGTGCACTGCAGGAGTGAACACACGTGTGACGTCACCACTACAGCTGGCTTTTATTTCACTGATTCTTTCTGCCTTTTTGTCAGTTGAGGTAAAACAACGACGTGAACAGATGATGTCACAGGTCCAGGAAGTTAAACCAAGGACCCTGTGTATACGGTGCGGCGCGGCCCACGGCGACCGGGCAGAGTAAAGTGGGTTTAATCCCACAGTATACAGCGGCCATCTGGGCTGGGCTGAGTGTGGAGCTGGACTGATTCAACACTGACACGTGTCTGTCGCTCTCCTCGTCCTCCGACCTGAGCCCAGGTCAGTGTGTTCTCCTGTGAACCTGGTGGCTGTTCAGGTGCACTGCAGGAGTGAACACACGTGTGACGTCACCACTACAGCTGGCTTTTATTTCACTGATTCTTTCTGCCTTTTTGTCAGTTGAGGTAAAACAACGACGTGAACAGATGATGTCACAGGTCCAGGAAGTGAAACCAAGGACCCTGTGTAGACGTTAGTAGTGGCTGTCAAACATACGGGCAGCGGGCCAAAACCAGCCGGCCGGGCTGTTCAATCCGGTCGACTTTTGAAAGTAAAAATCTGCATAAACACTTCATGTTCCTGGTGTTTTTCCAAACGAATATTTCATTGAAAAATATAAAATATTTTCTAACGATCTTGAACTTGGACAAACACGGACTCGTTATTCTGTGATTGGTCCGGTCCGGCCCACCTGACGTCCAATCAGGCTGTTTGTGGCCCGTGAACCAACATGAGGTCGTGTCACTGTTGTGTTTGTGTCTTGTTGTCGTGATGTCGTCGTCGTCGTCAGGTGTTTCTACAGATGAACAGAAATACTCAGTTGTTCTTAAAGACAAACATAAACCTCTATGAGTATTTATTAAGTCAGATCTGGTGATACTGTAACATGTAGACTTTTATTACAAATAATACTGCTTTGATATTAGGGATTTTAAACACTTCTTTTTGTTTTGTTTTTTTCTTCTGTTTTTGGAAAATAATCAACATCCATTACACTTCATATGAAATACTAGCATGGTCCCTTCAACAAGCAACCAACAGAACTCCAGACTGTCACTAATGCGCCACAATAATTACAATGACTCTGAATAACAGCTGTAGTTCATCAGCAAAAAAATCACAATAACATGGTTTTCAGGAGGTATAGTTTTCAGGTGCACTGGGTTTTCAGTAAAGAAAGAAAATGAGGTTAAAAAACCAAATGTACAATAAATATCTGATCATGGCCACCTCAAAAACACAGGCTAACGTGTGACATGCAGCACAACCAAACTGTCTGCACATGGTCCGACACCAGGAGTGTGAAAACTATCATGAGACAAGAACGGTTCTATTTTCTCCAGATCTACACACTGGTTCTCTTCTACATCACACTCTCTCTTTGTCAAAAAGTTCCTCATTTGATGCAAAGATTGTTTTTTTTTTTGTTTTTTTTTTCATCAGTTTCTAAATGAACCCGACAACATGATAAACGATGTCATACTGAGTCAAATCAACGTCACATATTCAGCTTCACATGTTTCTGGAGTATCTTTTTATACACTGACTTCATAAAGAAAGAGAATAAATATATTTCCCACCCAGGTTTCATTATACTTTTACATTTAAACAAGATCATATGCTGCAGTAGTTTTTTAATAGTTTTCCAAACAAGCTGATAACAATTTCAGGACGAACAAAATCAAAAAAAGGGAAAGAAAAATCTGGAGCAGACTTTAAACCAAAGAACCACAGGATGATGACGGGGTTTGTGCTTTAGTTCTTTAACTGCCATGGCTATTTCTCTAAAGGTTCGCAGTTACAAGTTCATGTCAAAAATACTGTGTGAACTCGGCTACAGTATAGAGTGTACAGTGTACACTGTATACTGTATACTGTACACTGTACACAGTGTACAGTGGTGTACAGTGTACACTGTACACTGTACACCGTACACTGTATACAGTGTACAGTACTTATATATATGTATATGTATATGTATATATATATATATACTGTACATATAACACGATCCAAATCCAAAATGACTTTTAAAGGTGTCGACCTGTCGGACTAACGCCGCGTCCTGGTTGATCTGACGTTTGAATTCAAGAGCAGAGTTGAAGGTACAGTCGCTGCAGCCACAGGTAAACACTCACACAGCAGCGGTGCTGCTTCAAAGGAACGGCTCAGACGCTTCAAAGAGCAAATGCAAGCGTTTTCAGAAGTGGGTTATTTTCCTGTGTCCGGTTCGTGTTAAGGCATCACAGTAGAGCGTGTGTGTGTTTACAGCCAGGACTGAATGAATGGACAGAAACACATGCAGGTTTATCACCAGGTTCTCATCTTTGCTTTTCACCGACTCTTCTTTCTCATTGGCTCGTTTTTCTCCTTGTTTGTTTAATGTTTAAATAAAAATCCTAGATTACGATAAAGTCGTGGACTTCGTCTGGATTTCTCTTAAATTTGCGTTAACGCTGCTAGTCGTGTGTTTGTATTTAATGAACCACAGACTTTGATCTTTTGAAATACTGTTTTTTTTTGTACTGTGAAGAAAAATACTGCCCTGCTGTGAAATCAGGCCAAAGTTCAAACCAGAGAGGAAACGCCACCTACATTTTTCAACCTACACCACGACCTACAGGTAAAACCTGCAAACACACAGAAAAACAACAACAACAAAAGAACTCCTCACACTGGCTCCTGAAGGTGGCGTGGTTCCAGTAGGAGCTTTATCTTCAAAAGAAGGAGTGAAACACTTGGACATCCTTCTTCTTCTTCTTCTTCTTCTTCTTCTTTTTTTTTCTTCTCTTTCTTGTCGCTGCTCTTTTCGTTTGAGTCATGTACAGCATGTGGACTCACGGGGACAGACGTGTCTAAGACGGACATTAGTGTTTATATCTGTGGAGGAGAAATGTAAACAGAGGGCAGCCATGTTCCTCCCTCAGCCCGTGTCCTTGGTCCGAGGACAACCTGCTGCTCCCTTTGGAAACTCAAGTCTACACAACCATCAAATAGAAAGATACAATACAGGATAGTTTGCTACGTTAACAGCTGCCTGGTCAGTGCTGCCTGGTCAGTGCTGCCTGGTCAGTGCTGTCCGGCAGGCGTCACAACTGAAGGAGCGAATCCAGAACACCACGAAGCACATCTTCTACACCGTCTATCCAGCTACAGTGTTTCCATGACAATACACTTCCTGAAGTCCTGCCTTCCCTCACATTTATTTCCTGTTTTTCTTTTTTTTTTTCTAATTCAGAATCTGTATTGTTAGGAGTCTACGCGTCGTCTTCCCTTTGTTTGACAACCCAGAATACATTCACTATAACATTGGTATGCTAATTGTTCACACTGGCACAAATGATTATTTTCAGCCATGTACGAAAACAATAATATTACTTTTGCGTCATTTGCCTTCCACAGAGAGAGAAAAAGACAGAGAGGAGAGAAAGGAAGTGTGATCTGAGGAGTGGGGTGAGCACAGGTTCACCAAGATCATCAACAAACCAGGGAAAAAAACAAAAAAACATCTCTTAAAAAAGCATAGTATTTACATGATATCATTCTGAACATGAAGCAAAGAAAAACTCCCCACACAAAGTAGTAAGTAAACGGATTTTTTCCCCCCTCCGGAGGCCTTTCGAGGAACTGTACCAGATTGGACTCCAGCCGTCATCAGCGTGAACAGGATTGATAAAAGCTCTGGACAGTCAGACATTTGGCCGGTGCTGGACTCAGTAGATGCTGATGAAGGAGGAGAGAGCCAGGACCAGGTACCGGCAGGCCAGCAGGACGTGTGCGTTTCCTGTGCTCCCATAGGGGGCAGTGTTGGGCGCTGTGGCAGGAAAACACAAAAAGCCTCTGATTAGCTGCGATTGCACTTTGATTCAACACAATGGAAACGCTGCAGTCAGCCGGAGCACGTCGCCTCTGAACGGCACCGACAAAACCTGCAATCAGTGCAAAAGTGTCACACACACACACACACACACACACACACACACTCACACACTCAGATCTGAGCTGAGACTTGGTTTACTAGTGAAGCGGTAGGTTGACCTCTTAACTGCTGGTTAACTGTTAACGTGGTTGGGACGTTGAATGGTTAGTGCAGTAACTAAGGTGAGGGTCAGCAGAGCCCCCATGTGGCACGTTTAAGAACAACAACAATATATAACATTACCATGAAGAAGTCACTGGTATTGATTATTGATTATTAATATTTATTATTATTTGGAACGTCTTCTAAAATGTTGACATCGTATTAAAGTCAGGAGCCACAGTGATGTGACCCAGGCCTCTGAGGTCAGAGGGGTCAGGGGTCAGAGGTCAGCCTCTCACCCCAGCCTCCATAAAACAGAGGGACCTCCCAGGTTAGGAAATCAGCTCACCATCAACACACACACACACACACACACACACAATAACACATTAGTGCGACTGTGAACAGGTGTTCACTGGTCGACGCAGTGGCTCCACGGCTGATGGAGTTGGACAATAACTATAAACATAGCATCATATTTTTTCCATCAACATCGTTGTTTTTCCAGAACAATTTTCCCAGAGAAACTAAAGGCCGAGCATCGTTTGAGAGGATGGATTCTGTCGAAACCAAAGCTCCACCAGGAGAATATGAATCAGGGGGGGGGGGGGGGGGGGGGGGCACCAGAGAGGGCATGTGTGTGTGTGTGTGTTTAAGATACTTGGGCAGCCCATGTGACCTCTCCTCACCTTTTGATCCTAAGTCTTTCCCTCGTGTGATTCTCTCTCTCTCTCTGTCTTTCGCTCCTCTCTCTCTCTCCTCCCCCTCTGCCCCCGCTCTGTCTTTCGCTCCTCTCTCTCAC